GCGATGGAGGACGCGGCAACGTTGGAGGACTGCTGTGGTGGAGGTGGCTGCGTGAAAGAGGGAGGAGGGGGAGAGGGGATGGGAGGAGTTAGGGTTTTGTTTTTAATTTATATGGGAGGGTAAATTATTGTGTGTGGTAAATATTTTCCATTCCAAACCATTCGTTTAATCTAAAGTCTTAACCATCAATTTGAAGAAGAAGAAAAAAAAAAGACAGGAGAGAGGGTGTATCCAATGGTGAGAAGGTGGGTTGTCAAACTCACAACCCCTCTAAGGGGGTTGTTAGATTCACAACCAAGGGTATTTTGGGTATGAAAAAAAGGAATATATTAATTATCTCTTTTGTATTAATTATATTGGGAATTAAAAACCCATATTAAATATATTTTTTTAAATTTAAATCCTATACATTAATATCTCTATCTATCTCTCTCTCTCTTCCTTTCTCCAGCGGCCACTCCGCATCGACCGACAAACTTTTTCTCCGGCAAATTCTCTCCGGCAACCTGAAAAAATGTACCAGTGCGTTAAAAAGTGTACCAATCTATTAGTCTAGTGGTAATTAATATACCAGTGCTAGTGGTACGCTACCAGTACGTTAAAAAATGTACCAGTACTAGAGGTACCAGTTAAAAATGTACCAGTACTAGTGGTACGCTACCAGTACAACGCTACCAGTAGAGAATAACACAACTCTACTAGCACTGGTAGTGCTACCACTAGCATTGGTAGCGGTACCAGTAGAAAATAACAAACAAAAAAAAATAGATGATAGTGGTACCAGATGATAGGGGAGCCACTGGTATTGGTACCAGTGAGTAGTGGTAGCGTACCAATAGCGCTACCAGTGGTATTGGTACCAATAGAGACTATCAGATCTGGAAAAAAATAGGGATGAGGAAAGAGGGAGGCAGGGAAGAGTCTTGACCTCGCGGCGGCGGCATAAAAATGGTGGCGGGGTCAGCGTGGCACGATGGTGGCGGGGTCAGCGCGGCAGGAGCGGCGGGGACAGCGGCGCGGCAGGGCGGTGAGGACAGCCGGCGCGGCGGAGGTCAGGGGTGGCGGTGGGCATGTGAGAGGAAGAGGGAGTTGCGGTGGTGGGAGGGCTGTGGCGGCGGAGAGAGGGGGAGGAGAGACGGTGATGTCTACGGGAGAGAGGGAGGGGAGAGAAGGGAGGATGGAGGAGTTAGGGTTTTTGTTCTTTTTATATGGTAGGGTGAATGATTGGGTGTGATAAATTTTTACCCTTCCAAAAATATCTTTCCTTTAATCTTAAGCGTTAGTTAAAAAAAAAAGGAGAGAGAGTATCCAAGAGCTACGAAGTGGGTTGTGAATCTGACAACCCCTTATCTCGTCCCGGTTTTGTCACCGTATCTCGTCCCGGTTTTATTTCAACATTGTGTATCATCATAATCTATCTATCTATCTATCTATCTATTTATCTATATCTATCTATCTATCTATCTATATCTATCTATCTATCTATCTATCTATCTATCTATCTATATCTATCTATCTATCTATCTATCTATACTATATATTATGGCAATTCAAAAGTAACATCTTGCCACATAAGCACTTGGAGAAATAACAAGTTGTCAAGGTGGACATTTTTTTTACTAACAAAAAAATTTATTATTGACCTATTTATTAAACTATCTCTCTCTTCTTTTAGTATTTATGCTTACTCTTACTCAACATTAATAATAAGTTACATTGAAATATAAATAAAAACAAACATAAATAATAATATTTTTTGTCAATTAAACAAAATATAAAGATGAAAACAAAGAATGACATATATCGGGTTTGTTTACACAAATATATGATTAAATCTTATCTAGTGAATTATCTACTCATTTTAACAAAAACTTAATAATAAGTTACATTTTGATGAAAAATTTAAATAAGTACATACACGTATCGAATATAACATGTTGAGCCAAAGCCAAGTCTTCTTCATGGAAAACCCGCTTTATTTAGATCGGGAAAAGCATACGCTTTTATGAAACCATGTACTATGGCTCGAATCCGTAGTTTTTTTTCCTCTCCACTCGAATCAATCCGCCTACTCGGCTTCTTGTATTAAAAGTGATTTGTGTATCTACTTCAATGACTATTGTTCTGTACCATTAGGGAAGAGGACTCGAGAAAAATATAAACTTCCTCGGGAATGAAAAAAATTTGTCTATTAAATAAATTATAATAACATAAAGAGACAAACCAAACATTTGACAATCAATCAAATTTGAGAAATGAAATATATGAATTTATATATTAAACCTTCTCTTCTTTATAATATATATGTCTACCAATTAAAATAATTGTTATATAAATAATTATTTCATATAATAAAATAATTGTCAAAATATAACTTGATCGAGTAATAATAATAATTTCTTAAAAACATTTCTATTCATCCTGATGAAGTGAAAACATATATTCAAGTTCTACCTGAAATTTCCCAAATGAAAAGTAATTACATGTGCAATATTTTATAATTTGGTTTAAGTTCACATTAAAATATTTGATTTAGATGATTTTGGTTGAGAAAACTCAATTGAGTTCATAAATAGTATGCTAATAAATTTTCTTTTCAGATTTAGAGTTATTGTCGAGGATTATACATCAAAGTTCTCAAAATGACTTAAGTATAAGTTTTGACGAACTTTGACTTCATACCTTAAGACGAGACACAATATACCTTAAAAAATGACACATGTAAATGTTAAAGGAATCTTTGTTGAGAATATATGATAAATATCACATTTCATCAATCACTAACCTAGGCATTGATCAAATAAGGATTGGACAATTTTCATTAGTAGTTGAATGTCTTTTAGACAAATCAAAATTTGAGGATTGAGACAATAAATAAATATCAGTGTGTTAGTTGAGATATCTAAACAAAAAAGTTTTATGTTTACAAGAATCTAAATCAAGGTATTGGGTTAAAATGAAGAATCTCTAATAAAAATGAACTTGATAAGGCAATTGTAATAAATTCTTTGGTTATATGGTGCGAGTCTATGACTCAATGCCAACTTTTGGCAATAATAAAAACTTTTCAATATCAAAGTATCAAATAAGAATTTTCTATTTTGTAACAGTAAGCAATTTGTATTTACAATAAATTTGTCTATAATAAATCTGAGTATTCAAATGTATGTGAAATGTCACAATATTTGTATGAATTCTTAAAGTTTATAAAAAATTCAAAAAATTGTAAACCATCATTACTTAATATTATAGGAATTAAAAACTAAATTAGTGTCACATCAACGAATGGTTAGCTCTCACCCTTTCAGTATGGACAAGTTCTAATTCTTGCTTATATATTTTTTTGTTTACTCTCTAAATTATCATCACTATAAATAAAACATAAATTAAGTTAATAACACAGAATGCAACATTTTGGTTTGTTCCTATCCCTTTTCTCATACAAATTCTCTCTATAAAAATAAAGCACAATATTGAAAATAAGAAAATTAAAAATTGGATCAAGCCCCATAAAAAAAAACAAACGTCTCTTTTTATTTGCTCAAAATCCTGAGATTTATAGCATTTCTTTTCTCTACTTTTTTCAAACAGATACATGAAAGGAAATAGTAAGGCATATTGAGGTTTTACTCTTTGTAAGAGAATATGAGGATGGAGTTATATAAGACAATGATTAGATGGGAAACAATTGAGCAACTGTAACATATATTTGACTATTGACTAAAAAAGTTCATCCTATCATTGCGAAGACGAATTGAATGAAGTCGATGATTGCTCATTCCTCCCTCTTCACCCTTGATCTGTAGCTGACAAGTGATCTCTTTTTCCTAGAGATATGTAGTTGTTTGTGGTTGACTAGCCATATTAAACTCTTCTTTCCATTTGTTTCTTAATTTCTTCCATATTACAACGGCTTGATCGTAAATTTCCTTGCTCAAATCGACGTTCTTTCAATTTTTACACGTTTGCAATGACATTTGTTTGTTTCCTTCGCGTGAATTTTTGCCTAATTGAATCTCTAACTAAAATTTGATTTTAGCCTGATCATTTTCTTGACAACAGCTATTTGGATTGATGCATCAACCGTGTTCATGAATGAAGATTTTACAAGATACAATGAGTTGAGGTTTACAATTCGTCTATGTTGTTATTAGGTAAAAAAAATACACCATTGTTTTATTTTTGAAGGGGGTATGTAGCTCTCTACAAATATAAATTGTATTTATATGCAATTTAGTTTGCTGAAATATATTGTTTTAATAAATTAGTGACAACTAATAGTTATATTTTTGGTTGGTTTTGCTAGAACATTTTAAAGATAAATTAACTGAATAAGCTGAAGATTGATGATGTGGATGCTAATGCATTTTCTCATTCTTCCAAAATTGCACAAGTAACTGATAGTGCACGATGTTCGTGGGATTTAGAGCGCGATATTATGTATTATCATACCAACATACGAGAAAGGAGAAGAAATGAAAATCTCTTTGCTTATTTTTTTATTAATTGAAACATATTTGCTTACTTCATTTTTTAAACTTCTTTGTCACTATTGTGTGTTAAAACATTAATAATCTCTTATGTATATATCCTGAATTGTGGGTTCGATACCAACTTATAAATAAATAAATAAAGATCTACTGAGAGCTCATTTAATAAAATCAAATTTTGATAAATAAACAAAAGATATAAAAGTATGTACAATACATAAAATCAAGTAAGTAAGTGAGATTAACAAATCAATGTATAATAGTTTAACATACATAAATCATAAAAAAAACAATAGACTAAAAATAAAACAACAATACGAATGCACCGCCCAACGGGCGGGTAAAAAGCTAGTTAACTACAATAAATGATTTTGGTTTTCAATATTCAAATTAATGACTTTAATATACGTAGATATTAATGTAAATTATGATCTCCGACCAGGGCGGAAATTGTCATCACTTATTAATTTAAGGATATTCTTTAAAAAATAAAACAAACTTCTTACGGACCGGACCCGAGCCGGAATCAGGAAAAAGAATCACCTTCCACCACAGCCCGCCGAAAATCACACAAAACTTGCACTTCTCCAGCCGGTGGGCGCACAGACAACGCCGCCGTGCCACTACGCCGCTGCCTGCGCTATCCAAGCTCTTCCGGCACACATCTTTCCTTCACCAGTTCTTCTCTCCGCACCAAGGTATGTTGTTCAGTAGACCCTTTGGTGGTCGCTCCCTCAATCGCGATTGGCGAGAACCTGGAGATCTCCCTTCTATTGTGGATGGAGTAAAATTGGTTGCCATGCTTCGATTTTTATTTCTCTTCTGGATTCAAACTCGGATTCGTTTGGTTTAGCCATCGCGCTCCGACGCGCTGATGTTCTTGTTCGCACATGCAGAAGAATCTGGACCTAGGGAGGCTGTGACTCTAGCCCTCGCAGTTGACTCAACGCTTCCAAATGGTACGTTTTAGCCCTTCTGCGTCGGTGGATAGGAACGGGAAATGCATTGTCGCCTATTTGTTTGTTTAAATGTTTTTTTTTGCTCACATTATGTTTCTTTCCCAAGCAGGGCAAACCAAGCAATTACTCCAACGCCGGGAGTTCTTGGGATCCAGAGATGGACGAACTGGATGAGCTAAAGCCTGAGGTTCTGGATGTCATCTTCCCTTCTGATGCCGTCTACTCTCAAATCGGGGTGCGTCCTTACTTTCTGTCAACGCTTGTTGATTTCACTTGGTAATTCGGTATGCTGAATGTGCATGGTTCAATCTGCTGGCTATTCCTGCGCTCTGTGTATCTTGAATTTGATTGTTCATAGTTTTTTTTTTTTTTTACTTCGACTACTGCAGGACAACAGCGCAAGCTCTTCAGGAAGCCATGTGAGATCCTTTCTCACTGGGATGGGATTCTCACCTTTTCTTGTTGATAAGGTGATTCAGGAAAATGGTACGTGTGCTGACATTTCCCATCATTAACTCTGATATAAAATTTGAGTACTCTATGAAAATTTTGTGTGTGATCTTTAATCTGTCAGGAGTTTAACAAATCCTTTTCAATTTTAGGTGAGGACAACGTTGATTTGCTGTTGGAGATTCTTGTAGAAAATTCTGTAAGCATCAAAGATTGCACTGTGATTTATCTTATTCATGTGCTCTCGTCGCATCTTCAATACTACAAGAATGAACAAGGATGGCAACCAAACCTTGTCGGTCTGTTTACTAATGTGTTAGTCTTCCGGTGCATGCAATGTCTATTATTTTGCTTGATAAAATATCCAGGTGGTGGTGACACACTTGTGCTTTTTATTCTGAATAAGCCAAAACTAATTGAAGTTTGAATTGCTCTGCAATAATTAGGATGCACAGAAGGCTAGAAATCAGTCATCGGATTCGTTAGATAGCTTGCTCGGTGACAACGAGGAAGAGGGACCTTCTGCATTACCGCCAATGCTGCAGCCTAAAGAGGTAAGTGATCAGCTCATACCTTACTTTAGCTGTTTTTTCGTGTCTACCTTGACGGCTTGAACACAAGTGGTATGTATTTTCTCAACTTTAGCATGTGTTGCTTCATGCGACTCCTTTTTCTTTCGTAGGAGCCTGACATATTTAATGAAGTTGTGGATGAAAGGCGACAAACCTTATTGAAGATGAACTTTTCTGCGACTGAAGTCGACTTTGCCATTGATAAGCTAGGTACGTTGAAGTTCCTAAACATATCGGTACGAGGAGATGACACTTGTCCTTGTGCAGGAATTTTAATCCTTTGATTCTCCCTAGCAGGATTTTATTTCCATTGGCTATATTAATTCATCAAAATGCTCTTGGAAACTTCCTGTGAAGAAATAGGATTGCATATATCTATATTGGATATAAGAAATGTGACCGTGGGATGAATCGTGATTTCTTTGTGGTGTTTGAGTATAATAACTATTTATGTATCATCCCACTTACTTTGCTAGACTATTTTTTTCTCATGAAACCTTCTGATATTACACGGCAGGTGACAATGCTTCAATTGATGAATTAGTTGATTTCATAAGTGCTGTCCAAGTGGCTGAGCATGCAGATGAAGGAACTAATGGCATGCCTCAAAACCTGTTTCCAGAAAAAAAGGTCTGGTTTCTAGCCCATTTGGCTGTGAGCAATAGTAGTAATGCTACAGATTCTTTACTGGGATCTCTAATATTTATTCGAACTTTTAGTTTCCAGGTTGATAATGATGAAAACTTGTATGGGACAATGGAAAAAACACTTCAATTGCTTGGCATGGGTTTCACTGAAAATGATGTTTCCCTTGCTATTGAGAGGATTGGTAAGTCGTTCATTGCTGCAACTGTCTTTAACTAGTGCCAGGCCATGTATGGGTGGTTTTGCTTTCATTTTACAGTTCTTTCACCTTACCCCTACTCGTTTTGTGGCGAATAGTGAGGGTCTGTATGCAACTTGCAAAGGTCTGTTGGACCATGGGGAAATAGTCAACTGAGATATTTGGTGTTTCCTATTTGTGGAAGTGAGCATGTTATTGTGTCTAGAGCTTTTCAACTTGAAGCCAATATCATACTTTCGTTATCGCCGAGATGCTCTGGTGCTGTTAACTCTAAAATAATTAATAAGCCCCGTTCAGGTGTTCACTTATCTATATTAGTCGGTTTTCCAACCATCTGCTAAAGATTCCATCATCCACCCTGAATGACTTGATTGCAAATGCTCATGTAGATGTCATGACTGTCTCGGATCTCCATCTGATCACCTGTGATGGATTTAGTTTAATATTAATGTGGTTCTTAGTTAGTTGTTCTTCTTACAGGATCAGAAGTTCCAGTTTTAGAGCTGGCAAACTGCATTTGTGCTGCTCAAGCTGGTGAAGTCTATGTTCCCCAATCCCAGGTCTTCCTTGTAGATCATAACAACATTATTTTCAGTTTACTCTTTGCACATATCATAGCTGATTTCCTTTGTGTTTTTCTTATTTGCTGCAGCAATCATCACGGGGTAGAGGCACAAATTCTACAGAATTCTTTACCCAAACAGACTATGGCCCAGGAGATCCACTGACTGATACTTTGAAAATGGAGACTGAGCACTTAAGCCAAGAAGAATCCTCCCAATCAAGGAATAAGAAACGGGAGGCAGCTCGCAAAGGAAAAAGACCAAGGCATGAGCCCCCTTCAGAGCTTTCACATCTACAATTCACACCTGGCACCTCCACCGTCGACGAATACGAAGCCAAGTTAAAACCAGAATTCATCGATGACTTCTTAAGCGCTTACCTAGTTCCAGAATGGACAGAAGAAGAAAGGGTCATCGATTTAACCCCTAGCAGCTACCAAACAGCCTCGCGGAAGCCCTTGAGTCAGGTGCTTTCCAAACCACCCTACTTCTTCTACGGCAACGTCGCCAATCTCCCCATGTCTTCCTGGGCCAAGATGTCGGAGTTCTTGGATGGTGCGGAACCCGAGTTTGTCAACACCCAACTCTTCTCAGCATTGACCAGGAGAGAAGGCTACCTCCACAATCTCCCTACAGAGAATAGGTTCCATATCCTTCCAAAACCTCCAATGAGCATCCAAGATTCAATACCTCAGTCAAAGCAATGGTGGCCGGCATGGGATACGAGAAGGCAGCTGAACTCAGTGAACTGCGATGTGGTTGGAGTTCCTCAGCTGTGTGATAGGCTTGGTCAAATGCTGCGTGAGTGTCGGGGGAAGCCCACGGCTGAACAGAAGCAGGAGCTCTTGCATTACTGCCAGAGGTTGAACCTGGTGTGGGTGGGGCCTAACAGAGTGGCGCCTATTGAGCCGGACTACCTGGAGATCATGCTGGGTTATCCTCTGAACCATACGGAAGATTCCGGAGTTAGCCTGGCAGACAGGCTGCAGTCTCTCAAGTACAGCTTCCAGATAGATGCACTGGGGTACCATTTATCGAGTCTGAAGTCCCTTCTCCCGCAGGTAAGGGATTACTATGAATGTTTTCATTCAATCATTCATCTCAAGCAATTGCTTTGCTAAGCTTGTTAAGTTCTACATTTGGAATAATGATAAAAAAAAGGTTAAATACACTTGTATATCCAAAATTTTCACGGTTGTGCCAATAATATCCAAATTTCCCGAAATACCACTTATATCCAATTCCTTCACATTCTTTAACGGTGTTTTTGGATGTACAAGTGTATTTAACCAAAAATATATTGGGAAATGGATAGATTTGACAAAGAACAACTTTAAAACATGGATATAAGTGGTATTTCGGGAAATTTGGATATTATTGGCACAACCGTGAAAGTTTTGGATATACAAGTGTATTAAACCTAAAAAAAATGCATTTGGACGAATTAAGTTATGTAAACATTGGGATAGTCAGGAAATCTTGTTAATTGATCTGTCTCTCAATGCAAGTCATTGATCTGTTATTCTATTCATTATTCATCATTTTGCTGTTCGACTAAATTTGACCCTTGAGTAATATGTATGCCTGGCTCGCCATTCTCTTAAACTGTTCTGCAAATTGTTGGTCATCTAGATACCTTCATATCATAAAATGCAATTTTCATGGGTCCAGTTTCAGGCAATTACTGCATGTATTCTTCTGTCCACGAGTTAATTTTCTCCCTGGCATCACAAACTCATGGTTTCCATCTGCAGGGGATCACAATGCTGTCCCTATCGACAGGGATTGGCGGGGCGGAGGTGGCGCTGCACCGGCTAGGGGTGCAACTGAAGAACCTGGTCTCGGTGGAGAGCAGTGAGGAGAAGAGGAAGATGCTGAGGAGGTGGTGGAGCAACAGCGCACAGACCGGGGAGCTGGTCCAGATAAACGACATCCAGAGGCTGACGAGCAACAAGCTGGAGGAACTTGTTCGCAAGTACGGATGCTTCGACTTTGTGATATGTCAAGACCCTTTCGTACAGCACAGGAAACCAAAGATGGCGGCAGCTGCATCCAATGCGCCTCCGATGTTTGATTTCTCGGGGTTCTTCGAGTTCGTTCGTGTGGTTCAGCGTGTGCGGAGCCTAACTGAGGAGCATAGTAGAAGGTGACAGTTTGTTGCTTGTCAGTTCTGTAAGCTTCCTGTGGCGAGGTGGAGTGCTTGCTTTGAGTAGAGATCTTTTAGTAGATTAGAGCAGCCCCTTCCTACTGTAGTCTGTATATACGAGTGTGTAATTTTCCATGTAAATTCGGTCTTCTTTGCTCGGTATTTTGGACTGTGATATAGGAACTAGATTTGTGACATTGTTACTTTTTATTGCAGATTCGGATATCTAGTTAGGAATAAATGGGCCTGTGTCTAGTTGGGCTGGGCTTACTCATTGGTCGCTAGGGATTTAAAAGGATCCAAACAATAACCCATCAATAGCAGACGCTCACACGGTAATACAGCTGGCATCTGTGTACTGATGCGGTTGGGCTGGAGGTTGAAACTTGAAAGAAGCAATTAAAGAAGAATGATTGGACTCATCCTCCCAATTGGCCCCGCCAGTCTACTGGTCTGGACCCAGGTAATGTTTGGTGTTGAAATGGTTATAATGATAATTATCAAATTAATTAAGGCCATATTTTATTAATTATGAAATAATATATTTTATCAAACCATCCAATTCTAATACTTAATTGTGTTAATCAATATAATATTATCATTACATGAGAAAAGTCTCCTCTAATGCATCCATCCATAATACATGTAATGAATAAAATATAATAATTCAACTCATAATTATCCCTTATGCAACTAATATAATTATCTTACAATAAGTAAAAGTAGCCACATAACCAAAAAATATTTACCAATGATCTGGGGTAATGAATTAGGCGTGTTTGTGCGAATTGCCTTAGCTTTCAGGTTTTTCATTCAACATATATATATATATATGTATTGTTTTCCACACTTTACAAGAACAAATATAAAAGTAACAATTATGAGCTTTATTTTTATGCATTCAACTTTGAGTAACATTTTACTCTTGAATTGTTCTAGAGAGTATTAAGTATGTGTTATATAATATATTTGATACACAGATAATTTTCTAAATTGGTTTGATTGGTAAGTAGTGTCTGAAACCAAACCAAACCACCTAAACCAAACAAGTTATAAAATTTAACCAAAGCAAACCTATTATCCAAATTAATCAAATTATCCAAATACTGTTGGTTAAAATGGTTACCACGGTAACCAATCTGTTTGAACACCCCTACTCTTTTCATCCCTTAGGGTAATGAACTGTTTAGTTATTAGCTGCTTTTTGAAGTTGGAGAACCGCAATGGGTTGGGTAATAAATAAGGTTGTCAATCCGGTTTAGCTTGTTGGCCCGTTGGGGCAAGTGGGTTGAGAGGAATTTAGCTCGGTTTAGCCCAAATATATCAAAGTCATTATATTGTTCATAGATTTGTAAATTATATCAAATCTCATCCAACATATGGGTAATAACATATAACATTATATCAAACTAATAGTTCGTACTTAGATCCAAAATATAGTAAAAATTTAAATACACACAAATAACACCATTATTGAAATGTTCAATTTAGAACTCCAAAGATAGCGTTAAGCGAAGGGAACCTCCGCAAAGAGGTGCATTTCACAAAACAAAGAAAAACGATGTTGTGTGACCTCCAACCCGAGAATCTTACTGGGGTCGACCCTCGGATGTGTGGTGGCCATTTTTCTCACAGGGTTAGGATCAATCCGGGTCAACCCACGGGATGACAACTTTGCTAATAAACTAATAGTACAAGTTGATAATACAAATCATGAGAAAATATTGAGCAAAATACACTTTGATAGTCATAACTTTACACTTTGTGACAATAATAGCCAAATTTTGAAAAATACACTAAAATAGCCATTCCGTCCATAACTTTTTGAAAAAGTGGCTATATGTGTGTATTTTTCAAAAATTGGCTATTATTGTCACAAACTGGTTAGTTATGGCTATCCCCGTGTATTTTGCCAAAATGTTGGACCAAAACAGTTTACTATCTCGATTAAGATGTTGTAGCACATATCAAACAAATACTCTGGAAAAAAACTATTCTTTGGCTTAAATTATAAATTCCAACACACGCATAGTTTTGATATCCTCAATTCAAGCGAATGACAAAGACACAAATCGAAGCAACTAAATTTTCACCACAACTTCATAAAACATTAACATAATTTGGTATGAAAATACAATCCCTTTTGGCGAAGTGTGATTGTGAATGAAGGAGGGAATGAGATTTGAAAATTTAAGGTTGAGACTCAAGTCCTTTTGGGGAGTAGAGAGAGTAGTTGAGTGCAATGCAGTCAAAATTGGGATTTTGATCGTAGTTGTAGGATTTGGGATTTTATTTAGGGATTCCGATCCTGATTTTACTATAAAATCGATAGACCTTAAATCGTTTAAAATTGGGATTAAAATCGTAAAATCATACAAAAATCGGGATTTTGATCGTATGAGAACAAAATAGGTGGTTTGAGCCAATTTAAAAGAAACATAACTGTTTCGATGGAAAGGGCAATGACGGGAATCTTCTCAGATATTTTTTCTATTAAAAAAATATTTATAAATAATAAAAATAACCAAATTAGGGCTCGATCAATCTCTTTCCCTTCACCCCATTTAACTTATTGGTAAAACAGTTATCCTAATTTGGAAGTACGTAAGAATTAACATCATTATTAATTAATTAATTTACTAATAAATATATTTGTACCAAGCCACTATTATTACTTGTTTTATTGGAGTTCAATTATTTTTAGTTTTAAATCATACTTAGTAAACGATGTCGGAATATTACTTTGAGGTAAACTACCTAAACACAACATGAAAACTAGAGCCAAACCCCAATGAGCTCTGTCCCTTATAAATTATTTTGAGGTACACATTAAATAAAAATTAAATAGTAGTGATTTTGAAACATTAATCTTGAGAATTATCTTATGTAAAAAAAATTCTTGCGAATTATCATTTTAAATGTTATGTGTCTCTGTATTATTAATGATTTACCTTATCAATATTATTATATGTTATGTTTTATATGATACTTAAAATCCTACGATTTTACGATTCCTATTTTACCCCACTTTTCGATTTTACGTAAAATCACGATTTTGACTGCTTTGGTTGAGTGGGATGTTTCACGAATTGGGGAATGAGTTGTTCCAATGTCTGGTCCGATAGATAGATCAGACCAAAAAGCCCAAAATATTCTTAATACTCTACTGTTCGAATCAAACTGTGCTATCCAATTTGGTTCATAATTTTTCTAACATTATAGTCTACTAGCGTGGGCCCCGGCCAGTTGGCCGAAGAAAAGTGAGGTATGTAATTTGAGAATGTAATGGGGTGTATAACTTATTGCTGTATAGTTTTTTTTTGGGAAACACGTGATAAAGATAGTGAAATTTAACAGGAAAGAGGCATGAATGATGCAATGAATAAAAAATCAGTCTTATGAACCAAGTTCGAGTACCTGTTAGTGTTACCTTGTCAAACAATATTATTTCTGGTAATATGATGAGGTGGAGTAAGTTTTATAGAAACCGAATTCCAGAAAACCGAATAAAAATTAACTATCTGTCGGTCTTCGGGAAATGAGCATCTCACAATCGTTGCTAGCTTTTAATTTTCTTTAAGAACTTCATCTTGTCGTCATTGTGCTTTCTGGTTTTTGCCAGACCATGATAAAATCTAAAGAAATAAAAAAACGAACAACATGATTTGGGATAGGAACCGCCATTCCCGTATCCCTAGAAAATGGTGGTAAACACAGACTCAGCTGCCGAACTGGTTTGGATTGAGATTTTTATTTGGTGTCAGGGAACCATGTGATTATAAATTAGGCTTGATCAAAATGTGCAAAAACTTGAAATTCAGCCTGTTTGACCGACCCATGCCAAACTCAAATTATTCTTTACTTTCAAACTTTCTATTTGAAAAAAAATAGTGAAAGAAAAGAGATGACTGCAATTCGCCATTTGCACATCACTGCTTCGGGAACAAAACCATAGAAATTCGAAAGGAAACTGAAAATGTTTCGGATAGTTTTAATGTTAAAAATAACCAAATAGATCTTTTTGTTTAGTTTTTTACTAACAAATACCAGACGATTTCCCATAAAATAAACTATAATTTAATCATTATTATATCAAATAATTACATTATATATATTTGAAATGATAAAAATTGGACTAATTGGGTTGGTCGAGGTTGAACCATTTAAAAACTTTAAAATACATTATATTTTAGCCACTAAGATATAAAATAATAGCATAATATATGTTATGCTAGAAAAAATAGCTTGTTTTCGGATGACAAACCCATGATGTTCATTTGTTTTACTTTATAGCCAAATCCGGTATAGGTCAGGCCCATTCAACTATTTTATTTTATAGTTAGCGGTTAGCCCATTATAATCCATGCATTAGTTTATTGTTAAATCCTTTTCTTTTTAGCAATAAAAAATGAGTATTGTTTTTGCCCTTTCATATATATCTTACCAACACCGAGAAATAAAAGAGCTTAAAGAAACCTGTTCTGTTTTTGTGGGTGCAACAATTCCTGGGCCCGTTTAAGTCCGCAAGAGTACGGTAAGTTGACCCGTTTCACAGAGGAAAGAGAAAAATATTTTTCACTCTTTATTCTACCCTTTCTACAAATGCTGCTGAAGCAGGAAAAATATTTTTTTTCCTTCATTCTATTCATTCTATTATATTATGTGTAGATTTTTCCAAAGATAATAGATGGAGGCATGGAGCAACAATAAGGCCCTTCATTTTCTCCACTGAATTTCCAAAGAGGTATTTTTGTGACATATTTATGAATGGAATTTAAGAGGAAGGAAAGGAAAGGCCATCTTGCAATTCCACAGAAAGTCTCCAAATTAAAATTCCACATGAAGGAAACATTTGATGGGAAGTGGTAGTAGGAGAGTAGTGTTATTAGTCTTGGAACTAACTAATGAAAGGGACAAGACGGCACCGGGCAGTCTGGCGTATGTCACGTTCTTTTAACAAATGATATGTGTTCGTCCTAATGAGATTATGAGAATCGTCCTACAAACAGAAGCACTTGTGAAGGAATGAGAAATTTAGATTAATTAACATAACAAATCGTTAAATTATTATAATTAAGGAGGACAATCAGACCAGAATTCCTGACTTGCTCCTCTCTACTTTAGAGAATTAGATTTGTTATTAATTAATTAATTCCTGACTCCTTCCTTCCTTCCCCAGGTCTTTGTCTCATCTCTCATGCACGACGGACTGTCTGGTTTTGTCGTGTGGTGCGTCTGTCTCTCTCTAGTACTGTAATAATATTAAGCAGCAGATCCAAGAGAGAGAATGTACCTACCAGATTTCACGCACCCACCAACACCACCATAGCCAGTGAGAAAAAGGTGTACATACTATACAAGAAGGAAGAGCAAGGACGAAGTTGCATTGTTGCTTCCTTCCCCCTTTCCCACCGCACCATTTCCATTGCAGCTTCTCAAACTCTAGCAGCAGCAGCATTCATTCTTCTGTTCTCGTGCCTGCTTTCTCTAGATCTCCCCCTTTGCTCTCTCTGTAAGGGTATATGGTTAATTTTGGTTTCTCAAGCATTGATGTGCTCTGTTTTCCTCTCCCTTTCTTACTGATTCGTCCTTTTCCTTGTCATCTAGCTTTGCATATTCATCCAATGCGAGCAGTGTCTTCTGCTTCTTCAGCCATACTGCCGCTCTGAACTGAACTGGGCAAGACCCATTTCATTTCACCCAGTTTTGGTTTCTGGGTCGGCTCACTAATTAGTGGCGGTTATGGAGGAAAGCTTCGTACCATTCCGCGGGATCAAGAACGACCTCCAGGGAAGATTGGCTTTCTACAAGAAGGATTGGACGGGTGGTTTCAGCGCTGGGCTAAGGTATACCATTGGGATCAAACTCTTTTTCCCAGGTGCATTTCATTTTCTGTTGAAATGTGGTGGATTTTTGTTGAATGTCTGTGATTTTTTGTTCCAGTATTTTGGCACCAACTACCTACATATTCTTCGCCTCTGCAATCCCAGTGATTTCCTTTGGAGAACAATTGGAAAGGGAGACAGGTACTTTACTGGGTCGCTTACCCTTCAATCTCATCATGTTTTCAACGTTCTTACGCTAGAAAAATGGAGGAAAAGATGACAACTTTAAAGCCTTGTTACCCTCCGTTCTTCCTGTTGACAGATGGGGCTCTCACGGCAGTTCAGACATTGGCTTCCACTGCATTGTGTGGAATCATTCACTCCATCATAGGAGGTCAGCCATTGTTGATCCTTGGAGTGGCAGAACCCACTGTGATCATGTACACTTTCATGTTCAATTTCGCCAACAGCAGACCTGAATTGGGATCAAAGCTCTTCCTAGCTTGGACCAGCTGGTATTCGCTTGTAGTTGGTTACTTGTCCCTTTTTACCATGTTGCTCCTATCTTTTCGGTTTACTAAAAGCAATTGATGACTTTTGGATGGGGCAGGGTGTGCGTATGGACTGCTCTCTTGCTCTTCCTTCTCTCTGTGTTAGGAGCATGCTCCATTATCAACCGGTTTACCCGTCTCGCTGGGGAGTTGTTTGGCCTTCTCATTGCCATGCTTTTCATGCAGCAGGCTATCAAAGTAAGAAACCATAACTTGGGTTCCTTTTCTCTCTCCATGTATGTATAGCTTTGTTCCAGGACCTGATCATCAGCCTCGGCTGGATGTGGCAGGGACTCATTGATGAGTTTCGGATACCGGAAAGAGAGGACCCGAATGCAGTCGAGTTTCAACTATCATGGAGATTTGCAAATGGAATGTTTGCCCTGGTCCTTTCATTTGGCCTTCTGCTGACTGCCTTGAAAAGCAGAAAAGCAAGGTCTTGGCGATATGGTTCAGGTATATATCCAATTGAAATCTTGTCCATGATATCAACAACTCCAGTCTCTGCATATCCCATATCCAAAGTTGTCTGGAATCACAGGCTGGGTGAGGGGCTTCCTAGCAGATTATGGTGTACCATTAATGGTCTTGGTATGGACTGGACTTTCCTACATACCAACTGGAACTGCTCCGGCAGGTATCCCAAGACGCCTCTTCAGTCCAAACCCGTGGTCAGCTGGTGCCTACAAGAACTGGACTGTGATAAAGGTATTACCAACCAATAGTTTACTCCATCCGAACTTTCATTCCATAGATCTTCTTTCTCAAATGGATGATTCACTGATTGCTTACGATAATATTTGACAGGAAATGCTCGATGTCCCAGTTTTGTACATAGTGGGAGCTTTCATACCATCAACAATGATAGCGGTGCTATATTACTTTGATCATAGTGTGGCATCTCAGCTAGCTCAGCAGAAAGAGTTCAACTTGAGGAAACCACCCTCTTTCCACTATGACTTGCTTCTTCTTGGTTTCATGGTATATATTTCAGCAGAAAATGGTTCACCATGTCACTTTAGATGCTGTTTTAGTTATTCACTCTGAAAATGAAACTATGGCAGGTCATCTTGTGTGGACTCCTTGGAATCCCTCCAGCGAATGGCGTCATCCCTCAATCGCCAATGCACACCAGGACTCTGGCTACTTTAAAACATCAGGTTTGCAAATTACAATACTTCAATAGTTTTCATCCATCCTTCAGTGACCGTTTATGTTAATTACTAAAATGTTGCTTGAACACCGTTTAACATAAGTGCATCACCCTTTCGGTACAGTTGCTTCGTAGAAAACTCTTGGCCGCAGCACGCAAGCGCATGAGTGAGAATGCAAGTTTGGGGCAAGTTTATGCAAGCATGAAAGAGGCCTATCAACAGGCTCAAAGCCCACCGAACCTCCCGGGATCTTCTGCTCCTGTATGTGTGTCCTCATTTGCATCAAAGAGTTAGAAAAGTTTGGTTCCAAATCTGCTGTAAACTCGATTTGTTTTCCCCAAGCAGGGTCTGAAGGAACTGAAAGACTCGCCGCTCCAGATGGCTGCAAGACTGGGAAGCTTCAATGCCCCAGTTGACACTACAGTATTCGACATTGAGAAGGAGATTGACAACCTCTTACCCGTCGAGGTGAAAGAACAACGGCTAAGCAACTTGCTTCAGGCTGTAATGGTGGGATTATGCATTGGTGCCATGCCTTTGATTAAAAAGATCCCGACTTCAGTCCTTTGGGGCTACTTCGCATTCATGGCCGTCGAAAGCTTGCCAGGGAACCAGTTCTGGGAAAGGATCTTGCTCCTCTTCACTGCTCCTAGCAGGAGATACAAGTAATCCATCTCGTGAACTCTCTCTGTCTCTGTCTCTCTCTCTCTCGCTCGCTTGCTTATTCTTCTTCCTTATACATCTAACTCCTGTGTTTCAGAGTGCTGGAAGATTACCATGCCACATTCCTGGAAACCGTCCCTTTCAAGACCATCGCAATGTTCACATTGTTCCAAGCTGGTTACTTGCTGGTGTGCTTTAGTATCACATGGATCCCGATAGCTGGAGTGCTCTTCCCTCTGATGATCATGCTTCTGGTCCCTGTGAGGCAATACATGCTGCCCCAGTTCTTCAAAGGAGCACACCTTCAAGATCTGGATGCTGCGGAGTATGAAGAGATTCCAGCAATGCCATTCAACTCAACCACTGTAATAACAAAAAAGAACTTCAATATTTTATTTTTGAGCGAGTACTTCATTCTCAAGTGGCTCCTTAACGTATTGCTATTGAATTTTTCCTAACAGGACATAGAGATGTTGAGCAGGGGAGCTTCCTTTGCTGACGATGGAGAGATGTTAGATGGGATATTTACTAGGAGTAGAGGGGAGATTAAACGAGCGTGCAGTGGACCTATATTGGCGTCTGAAGAGTTGAGGACCGTTGAGAGTCCTCTCGTTGCAGACAGGGGAGGAAATATAACTCGTTTCAGAGGAGATCTGAGCCCTCGCCAAGCAAGTAAAGGACCTTTTACTTCAAAACCTTCTCATTTGGGGAAAACCGGGTAGAAATGAAGGTGTAAAGGATTCACTTCCTACTGACGAAAAACAGAAAAGCTGAGTACATAGATTAGTGCTGATGCTGAAGAATTTTGTAAAGGAGCATAAGCAAAATGTAAAATGCTCCTCATTCGTTGTTTAATCTTTCGGTTATTTGGTAGTCTATCTCTTCTCTAATGGACACAAATTCTGTCATCCACGATTAATCTGATTTCACTTGGTCAACTACCAAGTTTCAAGTTTACACCCTTTGCATTGAATTGTAGCTCCAGAAATCGAATTTGTTAACGTAACTACATTCTCAAAGTCGAAGAGAAGCGGACATAGCTACTGGAAGCATTTTTGTCAACTTATACACAACTCTTTCTTGTCAATTGCAGACAATACGGATCGCGTTTGCAACTGGGTATTCAAACTAACGTATCCCGAGAATGCATGCATTTCAGAAAATAAACTGTTTCTTGCACAAATCTTCCCGAAGTGCCAGTATTTCAAACGGAAGAAATTATGTATTTCAAAGTTGAGAATCCTAATAGACCTTCTAAGAGTTGGTGGTTCCAAGCTATTCTTAGCAGGATACAGTTGTCTACAAACTATACTAAGCTTCTACAGAACAGGACAAGCTCTACATCACTTAATACGCCCACCTCTCTGCAAAGGGGAACAAAGGATGACAATAGGCAGAAAAAATGATAGAAGGCACTTCAAAATTGATTGATCTTTCTTAACAAACTGGATTCACATGGCTGTTTTGTTTTTTCAGAATAAGCTTGCATCTAAAAATAGCTAGCTGATAGACAAATAGTGCAAGATGAGAAAGCCATTCAAACACTACTCTTCTAGCAAGCTTCCTGAAGCAACAAGGACGCAGAAAGGAAAACTCTTTCTGTTATTCAATCTGTTCTTCTATACCAAAAAGACAGTAACTTTTCTCAGCAGAAAACAAGAACCGGGTAGACTAAGCACTCTTGCTGAACTTACGTCAAGACATCTTCTCAGATTCATATAGCATGTGGTTTATAAGCCCTCTTGCCGCGCTGCCATCCATCCAAAACAAAAATAGCAGAGAAGAATCATTCGACGGATTCATCTCTATGAAATTCTTCTAGAGAGAGGGAATACAAAAACATAGAACAGTAACATTTATCGATTTAAGTAGACTCACTCGTCCTTCAACTTCTGGATTTTGTCAGGGTCGGTCTCGTGCTTGTGCTTTTTAAACTGCTGCCTCACCATTTCAACCAACAACGCAGTATTGTGTTGCTGCAATTCAATCACACACCAGATTCTACCACATGTGAATTCTTTGCAATGATCATAGCAGCAGGAAACAAGAACAAAAAAAAAATGAATGGGGCTTTTTCTGTTTACCTGATGACCAACGTACTTAGCTCTTCGAAGACATTCCTTATAAAGCTGCAACACGACCATTTCAATCGTCACTATCACACAGCTCCAATTTTTCCTAGCCGGTAATGAGAACGAAACCATAACCCCCAAGTCGCAATGCACTAAAAAAACTAAAGAAGGAAAGTGAAATGATTATACTCAACTCTAAGAACGTTGTTGGCGAGTTCAGGTGGCAATGCAGTTTGTAGAGACGGCATTGTATACTTTGAATCTGCTAAGAACCGAAATCACCAACAGTTGTTTGTTAGGGTTCCTGGCTTGTTTCTTCCTCTTCTACAATCGGATAGCTGGAGAAAAACTGTAAAGGAGGAGGCAGATCGATTGATATAGCTCTCAGGCTAAGGAAGAACGTACCTGAAACGGAGTCTTCAGCGGCAAGGAGTTACTGCGATCGCCGACTACAGACAGATTCAGAGCTCGGTGACTGGTTTGGTCTCTGCAAGTGTTTGTAAATCTAAGCTCATCGTCGGCGGCAAAAGTGAATCTCGGACACAGGGATGGCCGGCGCGCTTCGGCCTGCTCTTTGTTGGAGGCAAACTGTCCGTGTTTATGGGCTTCGTACTTTTGTTAAGGCCCACTGTTAGAGCAGGGCACACAACTGCTGTTGGGCTTCTCAACAAATTGAACCGAGATCACTGATGAGGAATTGACAATTGAGGATGAGTCAGTTATTAGGGATGGCAACAAAATCCGAGCCTACGGGTATCCACTCGATTTAACTCGGTCAACGCGGATAAATTCATGTTGATGGGTTTTGGGTCGAGTTTGGGTTTAAACTCGTTTACTTTTTACTGGGTTGAGTTTGAGTTTAGGTAAACCCGCTCCATGGGTATCTACCCACATCCATATAATTAATTTTCTCGATATATTTAATATTCTAAACAACTAATTTTATTTATGTTTGTGTAGAAATGTCTAATTTTTTCTTTCTAATTGTGTAGAATGAAGTTGATGTTATTGAGTGGAGACTGGAGAGTGAAGAAACTTAATTGAAAGGAAGAAGCTTTCAATTAATCATGTTATTTATGGATAATTTGAGATTTGCTTCAATTTTCTTGAGTTTTCTAGATTGGGGTTGAACAATTTGTATAGTTAATTTGCAATGTTATCAGAACCGAACCGGAGCATGACCCGGTAATGAGAACGACTCGCACTTTAGTGGTCCAACCGACATTAGTCCGTTTAAAAACAATTAGAGAACAAGTACCTAATAAACGTTATCAGTATAAATAGTGGACATTTCTTAATCAGAGCTCGTCTCTTTCCTTCGAAATTGTGAAATGGAAATAAGGATTCAGTTTGAGAGCCCGACGTTTTTGGTTTATTTTCATTTTTAATTTTCTGCAATTTTTTTAATTAAATTGAACGGCTGAATGGCAAAAACCGGATGAGCGGCTCGAGCGGTTAACCGCCTCGGCCGCTCGTCAACCGCTACATAAAACCGAAGCAGCTTTTAGACTATTCTGAGCCTGTTTTGTGACCGGGTGGCGGTTTTACCAGTCGGGCCGAGCGGCTCGGCTTTAATAAAACTGTTAATTTGTGATTTGCTTGAATTTTCTAGAATGGTGTTTTATATATGGATAATTTGTATTAGTTGTCTAGTGGAAGAGATTCGGAACAAGAAACTCTCACAACTTACTATCAAGGTCACACTCAATCCAGGCAGAGAGCTTACAATTTATACTGCTAGTGATGAATAACCGTTGCCTAGTGGAGAGCCTTCCCTAGCCTTCATGTAGAGATGGTGCTAGGTGGAGCGGATGCTGAAAAGCTGAAGCTTCCATTAGAGAGGAGACGAACCAGAGGGATGATCTGAAAGATCATCAATCGAGGAGTCCAGTTTTGACTTCGAAGGATGATGTATTTGAAAAACGGTGTCGAAGAGAGATGGAGATGCATGAACAGAGGATGGAGGAGATACGTCGTCGTAGAGGATGCTCCGTAATGAAAGAAGCGGCGCCGTTTTCAAAGCCAACAATTTCCCCCCTTCATCCGAGAAGTCTCCTGCAAAACAAAACACACCAAAGAAACAGCAGCACAGACAATCCAGAAGAAAAGGGGCAATTCATTGATAATAAAGAAGAGTACAGCAGGCTGCGTCTAAAGAAGAGAGCATCAGTACAAAAGATCAGGACAGAGTCCTGAGCAGAATTCCCCCTGAGCAAAATACTCATAAATAACTAGAACTAGGTACCCACTAACTAAAGGAACATATCCTACCAACAAGATATCAAAAGAAACAAACAAGAAGTTTAAGAAGTAGGAGAGGAGGCGGGAGCAGTGGCAGCAGAGTCATCGGAGGAAGATTCTCTTTCAGAAATGGTGAAGACCAGATCCTCAGTCTTACTAGGTTCACCCACTGACTTGGTTTTCTTGACAGCAGAGGGCTTAGGAGGAGGCCCGAGAAGAGAGGTAGAAGGAAGAGGAGGGGGAGAGATGTTAGTTGGGAAGATCCAACACCATCAGTACATTAAGTGCACTGATGTACATAGTGGAGGAAACACTCCTAAATTCTGAAAGATCTACCCCAAGGTTGATCAGTAAAAGAGTGATCAGTGACCCAAATGGCACCAATCCTCTGTAGTTTTCATCCCCAACAGGGAGAAGTTGGCCAAACACTATGCTCGAATAATCCAGCTTTCGTCGAGCAGTTGCACTAGCAATGATCCATAAGTCCATGTGGAGGACCCGATCTTGGTTAAAAGATCTTGGAAAGAGGACATGAGTGAGAAAGTGGTGAAAGATCCTCAGCCTAGGAGGCAGCCAGGATACAGGAATAGGAACGTCTGATCCTCCAGTTGGTTCAGTTGAGAAGTTCCCATATTCCACCTCGACTTTGAACTCATGCTTCCAGAATTCAGAAGGGTGAGCGATCCCGAGTCCTTGTGATGGAAATCCCAGAATTCCATTCATAGCATCAACTGGTATGGTCAACACATGACCATACACCAGAGTGGTAAGGCTTCTCGAGCTGATCCCTTGGCTTTTGAGATTGGAGTAGAAATACTTTACAGCACCAGGGCAGGCAGGATGCACTGGTTGGCGGAGGAGGAAATCCCATCCGAGACCCTCAATAAGCGACACAATGTCATACTTATAGAGATTAAACTCATAGGGATCAAGCTGAGTGATATGATGCAGCCTCCTCTTATCGAAATGCTGCAGATATCGATGATGGTTAACTACTAGTGGCTCATGGAACATGTAGCCAGAGAATGTATGAACTAGGCCATCGAAACGGAAGGGTCGAGGAAGGTGATCACTCATTTTGTGCAGATGCTGGTGATTTGTGGTTTTTACTCTCGATGTGTTGTTGAAAGAAAGTGATATTGAGTGGAGCAGTGCGAGAAGAGAGGATGGTTAATGTGGCTTTTTATAGAGAAGAGTAGTGAGGAAGGTGAAGAGTCTCCCGCAGACAAGGGTTTAGAGAGAATGATTAAGCTAAAGCATAGACGTATTACCAGAGGCAAGCATGAGCCGAAATGGAGCGTTTGCTTTTGGTTGAATCAAGACACGCAAAAAGTACTCGGCTAAAAGACCCAATCAGCTTTTTAGATTTAGTTTTTGGTTTTAGAAGTTTATAATCATTGCTTACTGCACCAATGCATGTAATACGTCGAACCAATGAGATGTTTACTTTAAAGATTTTCAATCTGGCCCAAGGATTTTAATCCCAATTCTGTGCAAAGCTGTATAAACCTTTCACTTGCCAGAGGTTTTGTTAGTAAGTCAGCCAGCTGATGTTCAGTTGCAACAAATTGAAGTTCGATGTGACCAGCTTGCACAAGTTCCCTTATAAAATGATACTTTATTTCAATATGTTTGGTCCTAGAGTGTTGAACTGGATTCTTAGTCATACTTATTGCACTTGTGTTATCACAACATACTTGGATATCTTTTAGTTTAAAACCATAATCTGAGAGTTGTGCTTTCATCCACATTATTTGTGCACAACAACTCCCAGCAGCCATATATTCAGCTTCAGCTGTGGAGAGTGCTACTGCCCCTTGTTTTTTACTAAACCAGGATACAAGTGATGAGCCAAGTAATTGAATAGTACCAGTTGTGCTTTTTCTATCTACTAGACTTCCTCCAAAGTCAGAGTCACTGTACCCGATTAACTCAAATGAATCAGATACAGGATACCATAAACCAATATCCATGGTTCCCTTGAGGTACCTGAATATTCTTTTAACAGCTTTGAAATGACTTTCTTTAGGGCTGGATTGAAATCTAGCACACAACCCTACACTAAATTGGATATCAGGTCGACTTGCTGTTAGATACAGAAGGGAGCCTATCATTCCTCTGTATTTTCTTTCACAGAATGGAATGCCTCCATCATACTTAAATAATTTTAGATTAGTTGCCATAGGAGTGGTGCTAGGGTTTACTGAATACATATAAAATTTCTTGAGCATTGATTCAGTGTACTTTGTCTGACTGATAAAAATTCCTGAGTCTATTTGCTTAATTTGCAGCCCTAGAAAGTGGGATAATTCTCCCATCATGCTCATCTCAAACTCAGATTTCATCAAATCACAAAACTTTGTACTCATAGACGGATTTGTTGATCCAAAAACTATGTCATCTACATAGATTTGCACAATTAGTGTATCAAGGTTTTCTTTCTTTATAAAAAGTGTTTTATCAACATTTCCTTGGATAAAACCTTCTGATTTCAAGAATGATGAAAGTTTTTCATACCATGCCCTGGGGGCTTGTTTTAGTCCATATAACGCTTTAGACAGTTTGTAGACATGGTCGGGGTATTTGTGATCAATGAAACCAGGTGGTTGACTCACATACACTTCTTCTTTCAATTCTCCATTTAAAAATGCACTCTTTACGTCCATTTGAAATAGGGGTATTTTTATGAAGCATGCATAGGCACACAACATTCTAATTGATTCGATTCTTGCAACAGGGGCAAATGATTCCTCAAAATCAATTCCTTCTTCTTGCAAATACCCCTGTGCCACAAGTCTGGCTTTATTTTTGGTGACTTCCCCTTCTTCATTTGTTTTGTTTCTAAATACCCATTTTGTGCCTATGACCAGTTTGTTAAGAGGACGAGGAACAAGCTCCCATACTTGTAGCCTAGCAAACTGTATAAGTTCTTCTTGCATAGCATCCAACCACTTATCATCTAACAAGGCTTCTTTGTAATTTCTGGGTTCTAACATTGAAACAAAAGCATACTGACCCGGTTGGTACTTACCTCTGGTATGAATCCCTGCATTGAGTTGTCCAATGATTTGTGAAAAGGGGTGTCTCTTTTGGATGTGTGGTGGTGCTTGCCTTTCTTCTTCATCAGTTGCCTCATCTTTTGTTTCACTTATGTCTTTCTTGACGGTTTCTTGAGATGAATCCTCACAAGGGTCTTCAGACCTTTCTGTTTCATTTGATACAGGGAACAGGTCTATACTTTCTGCAGAAACCTTGTTAGTGCTTCCAGATTCATCCAATTTAACAAATACTGACTCTTCGACCTTTTTAGACCTGAGGTTATAAATTCTGTAGGCATGTCCCTTAAGTGAGTAGCCTAGGAATATTTCTTGATCTGATTTTGAATCAAACTTATATAAGTGATCTTTGGTATTTAAAATAAAACATTTACATCCAAAGGGGTGAAAGTACCCCAGATTGGGTGTTTTTTGTTTTAAGATTTCATAAGGTGTTTTGCCAATGATTTTTCTGATCAGAACTCTATTTATTACATAGACAGCAGTCATGACTGCTTCCCCCAGAGAAATTTAGGTGTACCATATTCTAGCAACATTGTCTTTGCTGTCTCTATGATAGTTCTATTCTTTCTTTCAACTACACCATTCTGTTGTGGTGTTCTAGGGGCTGAAAAGGTGTGATTTATTCCTCTGTCATTACATAATTCACTAAACTGTTCAGAAATAAACTCTCCTCCATTGTCACTTCTAATGTTTTTGATGCCATTTTTGGATTCATTTAGTATGAGACTTACAAAGTTTTTAAAATGAATAAAAGCTTCATCTTTTGATGCAAGAAGATAAACCCAGGTATATCTAGAAAAATCGTCAACAA